CTCCTGGCTTACAGGACTCAGTAGAAGCAGCAATTCCCTGCCTCAGGTCTGGGGGCTTCACTCTGGTGTCTCTGTCTAAAGTGACAAGCTGTGAGTCCAAACTTAACCCTGGTATTCTGGGAGGCAGGAGTGGGTTCTGGCCTCTGCACCCTCCCGAGCCAGGGAAATCAATGGGTGGCCACAAAGACTCCTGATTTCTGGTGGTTAAACCTGGTGGTTGGGTGAGGGGTGTTCTTCAGGCTACAGCAGGAGATATGTGGTCAGCAGGTAAGATAATCTGCCCTCTGTTTAAGGAGAGGAAAGGTTTGGTGTGTACCTTGTTGGGAAGGTAGCCTTGTCTTACCTGCTCCTTGGGGTCCAACAGCACACTGCTGGGGCCAAGAAACATTGAATTCCAGTTGCCCTGGGATGCAAGAAGGCAGGATCCTTTCATAACCACAGACCTATGAAAGCAACTTACCACGGTCCTGAAGTCTTCAAGTCCTTCCCGTCCCTCTCAACCCATCCTGCCGTTCCCCCCTCTCCTCCCGTTTCTCTTCCTTCCTCTCCTTTCTTTCCATTTTTATTTCCCCCCTCCTTCTTTTTCTCCTCCTTCCCTTTCTCCTTTCCTCGCCTTCCTTTTTCCCTCTATCAGATTCTACTTCCACCAGGAATTCATGATAACTTAGCAGAAATCATCTCTCTTGCTCAAGGGAATTAAAGATCGCTGTCCTATAGCCAGAGGTTGTGGTTGGGAGAGATATGAAACCCTGTCCTGTGGCCACTGATTGCCTCTCGTCTTTCTGTCCTTGGAACTGATACCCCCAGCTCCAGGGCTCTAAAGCTGTGGCAATTTTGCTTCCTTGCTTGACAGGAGCAGCAGTTTGGTGAGGAGCTGCCCCTGCTTGGAAGGCCAGCCGTTCCTGTAGTATGGAAAATGATAAAGGGCCAAGCCAGAACTTTCAGTGTGCTTCCTCTTCTAGCCACGGTATGGCTGCTAGACCAGGCCTGCCAGGCTCAAACATAGCATGCCATCTTGTTATTATGGTTATTTCGGGGATTGCTGGGGGGCTAGGCACCCTAGGCAAGGGCTCTGTCACTGGGCTATCTCCCAGCCCCTTTCATGTAATTATTTAAGTAAAGGCCCATCATGATTTTAGTAGATAAAAGTGAGATGTGATGGTTTTCATCGCTGTGACCGAAATAGCCTATAAGAACAACTTAGAGGAGGAGAAGTTTATTTTGGCTTATGTTTCCAGAGGTTTAATCCATGGCTGGCCAAGTATGTGGCGCTAAGCCCAAGATGAGGCAGAACATCATGGCAGAAGGGCATGTTGGAGGAAAATGACTCACTTCATGACAGCCAGAAAGCAGAGACAGAGAGGAAAGGAAAGGGCACCCGGAAGAACAAGCTTTTCAGGGCTTACCCCCCCCCAATCCACCCCCTCCAGCCACACCTACCAATCCACAGTTAACACCTAGTCAACAGTCCATTCAAACTAGGATGGACAGATTAGGTTACAGCTTTCACAATCCAATCACTTTACTTCTTAACATTTCTGTATTAACACAGAGGCTTTTGAGAGACACCTCATATCCAAACCATAACAGATGGGATGTGATCTATTCTTAGTTTCTATAAATATGCTATAAAAGCATACACACATGCGCGCGCACACACACACACACACAGATTAATGGGTTTATTTTGAATACCAACACTGATCAAATCAGGAAACCCTTACTAAGGGCACTGAGGTTACTCTATTTGAAATTTAAAGTAGAAAGCCCAAATGACCTTTAAATTCACTGATGAGAACAAATTAATACATTTTTACAATTTTAATTTTTGAACATGGACTTAGTGTCCCAGATAATGTTTCTGTTTTCAATTATGTTTTTGTGCTAGGTTCTGTAACAACTGTGTCCCAATAGGAAGAATAACCTATTGGATGATTTGTTACTGACTTGATTTAATTCATCACCTTTCATAGCGAAGGACGAGCTGGCTTAAGTAAGAGTTATTTAGGAAAAAAGGGAATTAGTGGAAGTATTTAGAATAGAGTATGCTTCATGTTGTATTGCCTGTATTTAGATAAAATTTTCAAAACAAAAATTGTAACATAACCAAGCACAAAATTCTACATGTTTGGAGCAAGTTCTGCTCAAAAGCTTATTATCTAGCCGCTTCAGATAGCCTTAGCCAATTGAAACATAGTCAAAACCCAAAGTCAGCAGTTGCCTTTGGATCCATTGAAGCAATTGTTGTCAGTTGAGGAACTATAATCCACGTTCTTTACTTGGGCCTTCACTCAGAATTTATTCACTTAATTTTGTATATGTTTATAAAATTTAATTATCTGATTTTCAGATCACAAGCTGCCCAGTAGCTGTCATGTAGGAAATCCTGGGCAACAAAGACAGGAACAATGATTTGAAAGGGTCTTCTGTCAGATGGTAGGAGAGGAAAGAAAAATGACTGGACTTTGAAGAAGAATTCAGATTACAGTCAATATTTGCTGCCTCAGGAGGCGCAGAAGCATGTGATGTATTTTAAGAGGGTCTTTCAGAATTCAATATTATTTAATTAAAATTAGTTTTGCCACATACAGCACTTTATTTCCTATGTTGTCAGCCATAGATAGTCGCTCTTGAAGTGTTCACGGTGAATGATGTTAGCGTATTTACATGTCATCCCAGAAAGCTGAGTGATGGCATATCTTGAGGCAGTGGCTCTTAAACTCCAGGATCCCAGATCCCTTATCTAATAGGGATTTTGACCCACAATCCTGATGTGGAAAACAAAGAAAGGAAGAGGTGTTCTGGGTTTATTGAGTTCACAGGCTTCCTGAGCCCACTCTATTTCTTTTCCCATCCTCCTCAATGACTCCGAAGACACCTCCAATGCAAAGCTTGATATCAGGCACAAAGCTAGACCCAGGTTGCGGGTATGGACTAGAAAGGAGGCTTTTCAGACACCTTAAATCATAGCGCCTAAGGGGTAGCTCACCTGCAGTGGCCTGCTTGGCTTGTGTGCAGTGTTATCTAGGGGTGTTCTGGATGGCAAGAAGCTGCCTAGAACCAACTCCAGTTTCCCTGGCATCTCTGTAACTCTGTTAGTGGGACTCAAATGCCCCAAGGGTTTTCTGCAGGTGGCACTAAAGCAAATCCTACCAGGATATGCGCAGGAAACAGGAGAGCCCAGGCACTTGTCTGCGGCCATTCCTCTCATGAAAATTCACAAGGTCAAATTGTATTACTGTTGTTGCTGCTGCTTCTGTTACTGCTGTGACGACTGCTTCGGAGAATTCTCTTGTAGTGTGCGTCCTCCTCTTCCTCTTCCCCCCACCTTCTCCTCCTGCTTCTCTTCTGCTGTGTTTAGGAGTAGAGCAAGACAGTTTTCAGTAGTGTTACTAGTTGTTTTAGTTTCCCTTATCCCTTGTTACTTGTAGAATCAATTGACTGTCAAATTCATTCAACATTGAAGACCATGTTCTCTCTTTAGGTACGGGAAAGAGTGATCAAAGCATCCACCAACAGGATCAATTAACTTCAGTCAGTGAATACATTCCAGAGTTTTCGTTGTTGTGGTAAAACAGTGTTTTAGCTGTTTCTTTGATAGCTGAGCTGACAACACTGTCATCACTGGTACCAACGGGAGCCCACCCCCACGCCCCCATGTTGAATAACTGGAACCATCAAGGGAGCAGGACGGGGCAGTTTCTTTCCTTTTGCTGCCCCTTTCCAAGGTGGCTATCTGCAGTCCCTCCAGTCTCCGTGGGCAGCACCAGGATTGGGCTCCTTCCTACCCCACTGCCAAAGTCGCCTCCAATACGACACCCCAGCAGAGGCAGCCACTCATCAGACGGGGCGTTGGGGGAGTTGCTCTTAGTCTATTCTGGTGCCTTCTAAAAGGAAAGGGACCGCCTTTCGCACTTGGTGGCTTCGGTGGACTGTTGGCAGATAGGTTGTTTGTAAGAAGTTTCTTCTAGTTCGCAAACTCAGAAGTACGGACTCAGATGTCCTTGCAGAGATCTCAGCGTTCCCAGCTTAAATGCTACAGGACCCTGGTAGTGACGAAATGTAGAGCCCCTGTTCACCTCTCCCCGCAGCTCTTTATTATCAGAGAAAAGATAAACCTTAAAAAGCTTTTTATTGTGAATTTAAACACAACCAATTGTCAGAGAGGCCAAATTGAGTAATGCTTAGGAGTCAGACAGTCTGACTCTGCTATCCACTTAATTAGGTGACCTTGGGCAGGTCCCTTCCCAGGCCTCACTCTTCTCATCTGTAACCTGGGAAGATAACTACCTATTTCATAGAGTTGTGGGGGTTTGGTTAAGGGAGTTGCTATTTGTGAATACTGATAAGGGCATGCGGCAAGCCCTGTGTTGTATTAACTGTCCTTGCTGAGTTTGCTGTTGTGGTTGCTATCATTATTATTATTTCTTGGGTATAAGAACTAGAACTGTGTTCTCTCTCCTGAAGGGAAGAGCAGAAATCCAAGTAGCTTAGTATAGATTTATACCTGGAACTGAAGCCTAAGGTGATTGACCCCTTGAAATATAGACTTTCTGGCAGTAGGAAATGAATGCTTGATTTGAATGCAGAACTAAGTAAGGCTCTCAAACAGAAAATCAGAAGCTAGATGAGAAAGATTAATTGCTCAAATGAAAATGTGACAATTTTTTTTTTAAAGAGATAAAATAATGCCTACATTGCTAGGTTTCAAACTTAGAAGTAGTGTAATGGAATAAAGTGCCCAATTCATATCATATGCTCCATATGACATTGGGACATTATGATACTTGGGAGAGACCGGCCAGGCCACTGTGGAACTACTTGGTGAGACAAGATCATTAAGTTTGTCCTGATGTTTAATATTTTGATGAAGTTTCAAATTCACTTGGTATGAAAGAATGGCAATGTTTCATTTGTGTACATATACAGTCCTTATACCAGGGAAGTCTTCACACAGACTGTTAACATTTCTTTCCTGTATTTTGAATTGAATGTTGTAGAAATCGGCTCTCAGGAGGAAGTGTGCAGTCTGTAAAATCGTGGTCCACACCGCCTGCATCGAGCAGCTAGAAAAGGTAAGAGAGCGCCACCTGCTGCCGCCTCCTTTATTGTAGGTGTTTGGTCTTCAAAGACTGGGTGTCAGTTTCCATTTCCAACTTTTTGGAAAAAAATGCCCTTTAAAAAAATAGGAAGTCCAACATGATTAACAGATTAGTAGTAAAAAGAGTTTTAAGCGTGATTCACTGTGTTGTTTGCTAAGTGTCAATTGCAATAATTTTATGTTACCTCTTAGGATGAATAATGTTCTCTGCCAGCGCTCAGTCTTTTCTCTGGGCTTCTTGGTCAGTGCTTTTGCTCGTGCAGGGTAAATGTGTGGCTGGGGCTGGAAGTGGCAGCCTGAGGGTGTGTTATCTACAAAGAAGAAAATTCTTCATAGTGCATTTATTTGACATTTGGGAGAAAGGAAAGGATCCAATAGTGATTTTCTGCTGCTTACTTTCAAGAGTCCCTCTCCATTTCCATGTGTGATTCTCTGTGCATTATCTGTGTTTTCAAGCTGACATGTGTAAATGCATTGAGATATTTTAGTTCTACGCAGCATTCACTTAATTTCACTGACAATACTGGTGACCTAGATGGTGTGGCAATGACCACTGACGTTTGATCTTAATATGTTCTCTCCCATCCCAACTCCACTTATTCATCTCCTTCATTCTTACACTTTCACGTTCTACTGTAGTTGAAGATGATGGAAGTGTACCACGTAGGAGACCTCCCCACTTAAAGTAAGGGGCTGCTGAATCCTTCTATAAAATAGAATACTTTTTCTATTGTTGGAATAATCCTTACAACATTTTCAATTTCTCAAGTTTATATTTTCTACTTTTCAATTTTAAAACCCATCTGGGTGGTTTAACTTCTCTGTAGTTTTCCTCTGACTCTTTCTTATCTATTTCTGATTTTCTGTTTGAGAGCCTTATTTTTGAAAGATGCTGTGATTTCATTAGTGACAAGGAGGGGATGGAAAGTGGAGATAGTGAATCAGTTGATGTGTCTGTAGATTATCTAATGTGATGATTTCAAAGCACTGAGAATAGCAGTAAACTTTCTTCCTTATTCTTTACTTTTTTTTTCTGTAGCCTCAGTGTCTGTCATTGTTGGATGGTTTTAGGTAATTCAATTTAGTCTGATGCTATCCCTAATGTAAATGCTTTTCTTTTTAAATGACAGATTAATTTCAGATGTAAGCCAACGTTTCGAGAAGGAGGCTCAAGATCACCAAGAGAAGTGAGTAATTGTTTTTTTTTGTAACAGGGATTGAACCCAGGGGTGCTTAAATACTGAGCCACATTGCCAGCCCCTTTTATGTTTTATTTAGAGACAGGGTCTTGCCAAGTTGCTTAGGGTCTTGCTAAATTTCTGCGGCTGGCTTTGAACTCTGGATCCTCCTGCCTTAGCTTCTTGAGTCTAAGGAGGCACCCCCATGACTGGCAAGAAGTGAGTAATTTGAGGCTCCATATCAGATCCCACCTTGGAATCACTGGACTCCTAGATATTCACCTGGGATTGAAAAATAAATTCCCTCTCTAAGTATTCTAAAATCAGTTATTTATTAATCCACTAATATATACAGTCAATAAAATCTCATAAGTCTCTTGGACATTTGGACACTGCACTTTAGATATGTTGGTAAACCACGGTCATACTGATTTGAACCAGAGAGTGGGGAGCATCACAGTTGAAGAGGCAAGAAAGAAATAGATGCTATTGTCTGTTGATTGATTTAAATTCTATTTTGTTAATTTTGAGTGGGGGGCATTAAGCTATTCAGGGGGCAGCATAGTTAATGGTTATTCATGTGTTTTAGCCAACTTTTTTTTGCTACTGTAACTAAAAGACCTGACAAGAACAATAAATAGCAAGGAGGAAAAGTTTATTTCAAAGGTCTCAGTCCACATAGCTGGCCCTGTTCATTCCTCAGGACTTGAGGTGAGGCAGAATATCATGGTAGCCTGGGAGAGAGAGAGAGAGAGAGAGAGAGAGAGAGAGAGAGAGAGAGAGAGAGAGA